GTGTGTGCGTGCGTGTGATTTTTTTGCTGGTCGGGGATATAAATACGTTATTTTGCACCTGTGTGAATCGCTGTTTTCTCTTCATGTTCCGGATTTAGTGTCATTATTGACCAGAAAATTGTAAGGTGTATTACTGAGCTCTTATTTCATGCACTCACACTAAGTGGCGTCAAATTCAACATTTCTGAAAGGTAAGCACATGGATCATTTTGTCCACACAGTTTATACAAAGCTAAAGTTAGTCAAGGCAAAAGTACTGCAATGCCCACTGGCGAACAATTCGTAAAATTATCGAACTGGTTACTGAAGCGAAATTGCTAAAAAAAAAAAAAAAGAAGATTTTGGCGCGCAATTGTTGTTTAGATTTGCTGCGATTAGTGCATTGATACAAAAGCGAGGAAGTAACTCTACAGTATATAATGTGTTCCTAGTGTTTTTATGAGATGCGCTCGCCTCACATTATGCTGGAATATATTTTTGCACGCATTGTTCTCCAGAGAAGTCAGGTGTAAGGCTAACTTGAGAGGCAAGGGGCGTCTTCGGAGATCTGCATTTCGCCTGCTAGCAGAGGCTGCCCAGAAGCGTGTGGCGTGTGGATATATAAACACCCACACCAGAGAGAAGAGGGACACACACATCCAGAATATAATAAAGTGTCCACACGGCTACCCACTTCCACCACACACACACACACACACACACACACAAAACTCTTTCTCTCTTTCTCAATAAACACTTTGTCTCTCTCTCACACACACTAAACTCTCTCTCTTACACACACATTAAATTTTTTTCTCACACACACGCACGGTATGCAGAAAAAACACAAACGCCAAATTAACACACAGCAAAATTTCACTCTCTCTCAAACACATGCACATACATGCTAAACACTCTTTCACACTCAAACATACACACACACACACACATCAAACTTTCTTTCTCTCACACACACATACACGGCACACAGATAAACACTCACGCCAAAATTTCTCTCATGCACACACCAAACTCTCACTCCCTTGCACACACGCACAGCACACAGATACAAACACACTCACATACATACATACACACATCAAAATCACACACACAATTATACAAACGCCAAACTCTCTCTCTCACGCACACATCAAACTCACATACCACATAGCACACACACACAAAGCACCACGCACCCAATCCCCACACAACAAACAAACTACACACAAACACTCTCACTGCACACGATATACACATTACACACAAACACAGCTCCCATATATATATATATATATATATATATATATATATATATATATATATATATATATATATATATATATATATATACACATGCTTTCAAAAATTTATGAACGCTATATTTAAAAAAATAAATAAACGCACAGCGTGAGGCATCGTAGAAGGTGAGGAGGAGGAGAAGGCGGAGGAGAAAGCAAGTGTACTGGAAATTTATCAGTGTGGGTGGTTAAAAGAAATACACATACTTTCTTTTCATCCCACTTCATATGAAGTCAAAAGGAACATTTTAGCCTGTATACAACGTGTTATAATTTCCGATCACTCATTTCAAAGGATTTTAGGTCTGTAAATGTTATTATACATATTTTTTTGTTGACAAAGTTTGCAGATGTTGCTATGCTTGTTGTAAGGTTTTGCTCTTTTTTTTTCTTTTTTTTTAATTTCCCTGTTGACATTTATTATTATTTATTTTAGACAGATATTTAGCTTTGAATATAGTATTTTTATAATATTTTTCCATTAATTTCCACACATGTTTGCCTAGTCTAGTAGAATTGACTCTGACAATTAACTTTTTTTACAATTAACATTATATATATATATATATATATATATATATATATATATATATATATATATATATCTCACAGACACACATACATCACACACACCCAGCTCACACAGAAACTTGACAAACATACACACACAATCGCTGACTGTAATTGATGAATTCTGGGTTGAAACAAAATGTAATGTTTCATAATAAATATTCAGTCTCGTGTATTCATTGGTCCTTTCACGGCGATGATATTAGAGTCCGCTCGCGAGACGTGTGCTGGTGTTTTATTCAAAGTAAACACATTGTCTGATTGCTTCTATGCAAACCAATTTTCGTCTCTTCTCAAGCCCAATGCGGACTAATCGACATCTTTCATTGCATTCGTAGCTGCACTTAACAACGCAATCTCTCAAAGTCGCTCAGTGCACTGTAGTCAGTTTTATTCTGTTTACCCAAATGGCCAGCTTATTAAAAGCAACGCATCTACACAGGCCAGTGGTTAGTAAGTTTGGAGGTCCTTTCTCTCCCGAGTTGGAGGTACATTTGGAGCCCTAAAAATATAGTATTGCGCCAGTGAACGTAGAAAATATCAATCCAACATGGTCAAGGGCACACACACACACACACACACACACACACACACACACACACATATATATATATATATATATATATATATATATATATATATATATATAT